AGCATCCTCCTTTGTGCCTGCTGGGATGGAGAGAGCATCCTCAGCCAGGAGCACTCGGCAAACCAGCACTGCTGACCTCTGCAGCCCTGTTCCTGCAGCTCAGCTGGTGGTGGTTGGGTTGTACCCTGCTGATGCACCACGCAGAGATGATGCTCAAGCTCTTCAGAAGGTTTAATTATCACTCCTCTTGAAAGTGAGCTCTTCCTGCACAGTTCCCCTTCAGAGGCATTTGATCTGTTCATATGTTTAGCAGATATATTTTTAATATTTTCGTTTGGAAGTCAGAACATGTTTTAATGAATCAATTTTCAAATTGGTGTCTCCTTCATCATACTTTCCTTAGACCCTGAAAGCATTTGCATCTTATAATTTAAGTGCTTTGAAACTGGGCAGCAAGTGAAACTGTTAACCACGATGATTCACATTTGCACCTCAATCCCATCTGAGCTTCCTCATCTGCTGCAAGTTAATTACATCCCACCAGGATCCTTTGATATTTGAGTAATTTTGGAGCACCAAGGCTTAAATTTGTGCTTGTTGCCTTTTAGAGGTTTCACTCCTCAGATGACACCAGAATTTCATTGTGTTCTCTGTTTTTGCTCTGGGTTAAGCTGTATTATGGGAAGGATTTGGTACATGGATTCAAGGTAATTATTACCAGTGCATAACGTGTTGAGAGCCCAGTTCTTCTAGGTGTAGAGCAGCTTCTAGAGGTCAGGAGTAGCTTAATATCCTGGAGTTGGGGCATCTCTTTGGCCAGAGATCAGAGCCATGGAGGTAAGTCATGGTGGGTGGTGTGCAGCCCCAGGGAGTTGTGAGCGGGGAGTGCTGTGCATGACTTCTGCTTCCAAGCAGGCAATGGGGAGTTTGAATCTGAATTTCTGACAATGATGTAGCTTGTTGGAGCCATTACGAATTGAAATGGGGTCTTATTCAGCTCTGCTAATAAGAGGGTAAATGCAGCTAAATACAGCTGTCTTCCTCACTGCCATTTGGTATTTATTAGCAAATATGCCGTGGAATTGAATTCCTTGTAAGTACTGTGCAGCTAATGGCAGATAGCAATTAGCTGAAATGACTACTCTTGAGCACTGATGCTGCCATCAGTGAGGGGAAGAGGAAGTCTGGAGCCAGCACACAGACCAGCAACTTCCAGAACTCCCTACAGTTTTCCGCTCTGGATTCTCAATTTCATGCCCTTATCAAAAGACTGCAGTGAAAATAGCTTCATCTTGGTACTCCCTGGAGCTCCAGCTTGAGCAAACACTTCTCAAGCAGTAGTAAGTGTGTGTGTGAGTATTACTATTTTCAGTTTGGGGGTCACTGAAAGGACTTGCTGCAATACTACCACCAGTAAAAGTGTGTGGAGTGGAAACCTTCTCCAGATGCGCTGGTGGCACAGAACTGCATCTGCAGCACCTCACGTGCTTCAGGAGATGTGAAGGAAGCTGGCCTAGAGGCTTGGAACTAGTCCAGAAGCTGGGAAGGATGGGGTGCAGCGTTCACTATTCATCTGTGGCCCTTCCTTTCCAAACAATACAAGAGGTTTTGTTTTCTTCACCTCACTATTAAGGTGATGTGTAGGTCAAAGTGCCCCGGGGGTTCTGCCCTCCATTGACTGGAGGGAAACCAGCTTCTGTGGCTGGTTTCGAACTACCAGTAGTCACAAAAATGCCAGAGTAATTTCACATGTATCTTGACTTGTTTGTCAGCCTTCCCTGCCAGCCCGTGCTTGATACAGAGCCTTGTGGTGAAGCTGCCTGGCAGGAGGGGATTGGTGCTGATGTGGTGGGAAGCGAGGGGCTGTGCTGCAGGGAGGAGAGGCACTGCTGGGCACGCTGCACCAGAGCTGGCTTGGGAGGGAGCTGAGCATCCTCACTAGTGCTGCCCCTGCAGACCAGAGCAGGTTAAGGGCTGTGTTGATACGGACGTAGGTGCAGGGGAGGGAACAAACCATCCCTGGGGAGCTGGAGCAGCTCCTCCCCACCGTGTTACCCCGCGGTTCAGGCACTGCCTGCTTTCCATGTACAGTGCTGTGCTGAGGCTGGGAAGGGGGGGTTCCTGAAGGGGAATAATTCCCAGCTTGATCACGTTCTCTAAGGGTGTGCTGGCAGTTAATTATTTAAATGCATATTTAGTTAAGCCAGTGAATAGACATTTACACTGAGCACCTGATACACGTGATCCCTTCTGACTGGCAAAAAGTGTGTAACTGCCCCCGTCATCAGTGCTCTGAAATTACACTTGGGTTTGTGCGCAAGTCAATCAGGTTGCAAGTAAAATGCTAAAATCTGTCGTTTCATTAATTCATATCAATAGCATCACTAAGGTGGTTTGGGGGTTTTTACTACTGTTGGTGGTTTTGGTGTTGGTTTTTTTGTTTTTCCTCCACTCTAAAAGCTTTGGGTTTTATTCCTGACTTTAGAACTCCAGGAGCTCTGATTTTTTGTCCCCCTTCATATGAATCAAATACCTGTAAATATAATTTAAAGGCAGTTTCACCTGGTCTCTTGCCCCGTGAGGCTTCTAGCATTTAAGGCAGCAGACAACTGCCTCTTGGCTCTGTCTTGACATGATTATTTCCCGTGCAGCTTGATGGATTTGCAGCCAGCAGGTAAGTGCTGTGAGCATGGCAGCCCTGAAGGTGTGAGAGGGAGGGCTGGAGGGAGACAAGTTTAACTTCTGAACACTGTGTGGTCTCCTCTGTCTCTGCCTGCCTGGAGCAGATGGGCTGAGGTGCAGACCTGAGAGGTGGGACGTTGCTGTGTCCTTCTCTGGCTCCTGTGGCCGTATCTCCTGGCTGCAGGAGCTGTGGCAGCCCTGAGCTTCGGGTCAGCACGTGGCCCGTGGTCAGCTCCTGGCTAAAGGCCCCCTGTCCTGTTGTTTCCCAGCTGAGCAGGGGGAGGGCAGTGTGGTGATGTCCATGCGGTGTTATTGTCTTGGAATATTTGGCAAGGGAGACCCAAGATTTGGGCTAGAGCAGGGTGTTAGGAGGTCTGACTGTAGCTCCAGGGTTTGGAATGCAGGTTATGAGTAGTGTTCCCCCTCTGGGGACCTGTATCATCACACAGGTCCTAATTACAGTGCTGTTTTGACAGCAGTCATGGAGATCACTGTTAATGGCACTGATAACACCTCACACTCCTCCTTTGGTTCTCACTTGGCTGTGTTCTTGGCATCCCCAGTGCTCCTGGGACCCACACTGCCTTCTGTGTTGCTTGAGAACGTCTGATGTGTACAAGTCCTTGAGTTTTGTCTTTTGTGAAGGAATGCTTCTGCTCTTTCATTCTGCCAGCCAGCTTGCCAGGCAGCCAAGAGGCAATCTGTGATAGAGATCATCATTAGCTGCTATCTGACAGTGATGAATGACCCTGGGAAATGTTGTTGTTAAAGGCAATATCTGCTCTTCCTGTTCTTCTCTCTCTCTGCCTTTCGATCAGTTATCCTTTAAAGAAGTTAAAGAGGAGGGAAGGTGGCCCTCCTCTATGTTGAGCTGGGAAGTGACTTCCTTATCCCTGTCACCACACAGTGGAAGGTGACCCTTTTCTGCCTCATATGACTGTCAGAAGAACATCCATTCCTGGGCTTGAAGTTCCCAGCTGTCACACTGATGGGGGCCGAGTGATCTGCCAGCATTATGCCACTCACTCATTCCTCCAGCAGACTCCTGTGCAGATTGCCAAATCATCTGCGCCCAAACACTGGGTTTCTGTTTGGTCTCCTTCTGCTTTTAAAAAATTGTTCTTTTGTTGTGGACCTGGAGTCTGGGATGTGACTTCTGGGAATACTTGGATGGAATTCTGCCTATTGGGAGGAACACACAAATCTGGGAGTGCTTTGCACTGATTTAGGGCAAGGCTTGTGAACAGGGGCCACTTCAAGTGAGCTTCCCCCCTCCCCAGGTCTCTGCTCAAACCCTCAGTCAGGGATGAACTGTGCTGCCAGCAAAAGGTTGAATGGAGTGGGAGAGTTGTGCTAACAAGCTCCGGTGTTTTAGCTGTGGAAAAGCAGCTCCTGTTCTGCACTCTCTCTTCTGAACCACACCAAATGGCCAAGCCCAGCACCTTCAGCTTGTCAGCAGTAATTTGCTGGCTCAGGAGGGCCTGAATCTTCTTTTCTGTTATTAAGATGTGAATAGTATGTACTTGCTAAGGTGGTGCAGGCCCAGATGTGCTGCGTGTGTGCCAGCAGGGGAGGAGGTTAATACGTGGGGGCTGAGGGGTAGAAGGTTGTGCATCTTGGATGGGGATGGTTTGGAGCCCGTTTAAACGGGCAGAGATGTGCTCTGTGGGTTCCACCTTCTGTTCATCCCCAGTGTGAGAATTGCTCAGATCATTGCTGGAACCTGCAGCGCTTCCTGGGTGGCAGATGGATGAGGCCCCTTTGGATCCTGGGAGTGCTTCTGCCCCAAAGTGAGCCTCTTTTGGAGGAACCCTCTGCACCTGACAAGAAGAGGAAGTCTTTCTGCTATTGAATCAAAGAGGCACCAACAGGAATTGCTGATGTGACCCCAGAGGCAATGTGTTTTGGGAAGAGAACAATTCAGAAAGGAGGGAGCTGCCTTGTACCATCTCATGGGCTTTTCTAGGGCCCTTTTTCTTTGGGCAGCACTGAAAGTGTGTGAGTGAACCCAGACACTCTTGTCCCTGGATTTCAGCTGTGGACTCTCCCATCTGCTACCTGAAGCCAACAGCAGGCGAAGGACATTGCATTTCTTAAAGGAAAGAAGACGTTACCTTCTCTGGGTCTCTGGAAACAAAAGCAATGCTCCTTTCCCCTTTCAGTGACAGCAGAGAGAAAAAAGTGTCCCAGATAAACACAGTTCCAGATTCCAGTAGCGTAATGGTAACGTTGAACTGTGGAAACTGGAGCGCAGTGCATGTTGTGCAGACATGAAGACGCCCTCAGCATCTTTAAAACCCCAGATGCTGCCTGGGAACTTACGGGAGAGACCTGTCTGGAAGATCGTTCCAAGCAGACCCCACTCCCTCTGCCTCCTGCTGCTGGTGGGACTGGAGCTCTGGGTCTATGTCCAGAAAATGCACAACCTGCAGAAGAGGTAGGAGAGGGCTCAGGTGTTGCTGTGGGAGGAAGCGGGGCTGCAGCTGAGTCTGTCAGGATTGATGGGTTTCTCCTGTTGTTACTGGTGGTTTTCCCTTTGCCAGTCTGTCAAGGTGGGTCAGGTTGGCTCCGTTGAACAGCAGATTCCTGTAGTCACCCTTCTGGCCTGTTCTGACGGACAGTGGAGCTGTGGCCTTTGGAAGCTGTTGTACGTGCAGTGTTTTGATGTGCTTGAGTTTGTTCATTGACCTTTAGTTGGTTCCTCTGCCCTCGGCGTTGTGTTTCTGGTGGCTTTTAAGCCTGCAGTGGCTGAACGGCACACGAAGTTGCTTCCCTAAACCAGCCCTGGCTGTGGGGCCCTGAGGATGTGGGAAGGGCAGGTGGGGTTTAGGAGTGGGTTGTGTTTCTATTAATAACTGCTGTGCTGGAGCCTGGTCCCTTCCCATGGCAGCAGCGTGATGCAGAGGAAGAGCCTCCTCTCCCTCCTCCTTGTTTGCGTCGCTGCCGGCCTGGGCAGTGATGTTAATCGGATCAGGCAGGTTCTCTGCAGGGCAGCCTGTGCAAGGACAAGCAGATTGTAACGAGAGGCTGTGTCACCAGGAGGGCACATCACTGTGCTGTGCTGAGCACCTCCCATGGGAACACCAGGAAAGCACCCGGAGAGTGTGTGTGAAAGTGTGAGCGTATTGGAATGTGGCTCCAGGGCACAGGTTTCACTTCTGGTTGATTCCACTGGCAAGTATGGCCTGAGGGAGATGCTGCCCTTGGAGGTGTAGCTGGGTTGTGTTGCTGAAGGGTTTTCTGTATTGAGGGGATGGGAACCCTCATTTCAGCCTGTTGAAATCACAGGTTTGGTTGGAGCTAGGCTGCAATGCCAAGAGTTAGGGAAACTGGTCTCCAGCTCAGTTTTCTGGCTGTTTACACTTGGTGAACTCAGTTTCTTGAAGAGAATCTGGATATTGGGAAGAGTTTTGCTTGTGTTGAAATTTGAACTGGTCATTTTGAAATTTGCTTCTGTCTGCCATGTTCTAACTGGAATCCACCCTTAATTCCTGTGAGAGTGGCTCATTCCTGCATCTCAGCTGCCTGAATTTAATCTGGCTGATGCGAGTACAAGATGTTCCTTGTCTGTCTTCAGTCCCAGCCAGCAGGGATTTGTCAGTACCTGATGATGACACTGGATAACCACTCTAGTGATCTGCAAACCATGAACGTGCCTGGGGACTGGTGGAGGTTTGGTGTCATCCCCAAATGGTTCCCTCTAATTCAACATGCTGTAGCAGAAGCTCATTTTTACTCACTTCCATGTGGCCTGGCAAGAGGATCAGCAGAGAGAAATTAACCAGTTTTAGTACTAACAGTCTGAATATTTCTATTTCCCCTGTGAAACAGCAGTTGAGGGACTGATGCTGCACTGGCACCATGAGCAGCCTCATGTGCAAGTGAAATAGCCACCCAAATGGGGCTTTGCAATGAGCTTGAAATCAGATATTCATGGGGAGTCTGAGGTGGGAGCTCGGATGAGCTGCCTCAGTCCTGTTCTCCCTTGTGTTACTCAGTGGTTTTGGGGACAAATGAAGAGTGAGGCATGAGAGGTCACCACAATGTTTGGAGAGAGAGTTTCAAACCAGCTCTTTCACCATTTTCATGTTCATTGTTCTGTTGTTTGGATAGTCCTTGTGGGTTGTCCTCTCTGGAGGATGCCATTGGGCTGCCAAGCGCTGGGTGTTTGGAGCTGTAGGGAGCCAGCTCAGCAGGGAGGCTGCCAGACAAACTGGACTGGATTTGAGGCGGTTTATGCACTGCTCACAGAGGAACTGGCTTTGTTTCCTGGCAGCTGAGAAAACACCATCCTGCCTCTTTGTAAGAAAAATGTATAATGAATTGGCATTTCATATGTGCATCTCCCCAGGCCCCTTGGCAGCAGGCAGAGGCAATGCTGGAGCACAGCCCTGGAGCAGGAGGAGCTCTGCCCCGAAGTCAGTGGGTGCAGGAGGCGTGTGGGGGCACGGTGGACATTGTGCCCTCAGGGAGAGGAGCCAGAGCAGTGCAGAGTGCTCTGGGTTGGCCAGCACACCTCAGCCTTGGTTTGCAGAGACCCTGGCTCATCATAAGGGTGGTTTGGGGGAAGCATCTTCTAACCTGCTACAGGAGGTGTCAGCTGGGCTGCTGCTATCGCAGTGTTGATGAGCAAGTTGTTCTCTTCACTGTGACCACAGTTAAACTTCCTGCAAGTACTCTTTGCCTGAGAACAGAGTAGAAATGGGTTTTGGATGCTTATTATCTTCTGTCTGCCCCTTGCTTTGCTGATTCTGGACAAGTGAGCTGTGATTCTCCCTGAGCAGATGCCCACCTTTGACCTACATGGTTTTGCCTTTTAAAAATCCATTGAGCAGAAATGAAAAAGCCAAGAGGTGTCAGAACAGAGGAGCAGGAACATGCTGTGTCCATCTGGCTTGTGAAGGGGCTGACTCTGCAGAAGCTTTCAAACATGTGCTCTGCCCCCTCTGAGAACTTTGGGTACGTGTGGTCTAGTGGGGACAGTTGTCACTTGGAAAGCACTTGGAGCACTCAGAGGAGCACAATCCCTTCTCTTGAAGCAGCATCCCTGCTCTCACTCCTCTCTGCTGGCTCCCACTGACAGCACAGCATGTGCCATTGCCAAAGGTGCTGAGAAACACGAGGGAGGAAAGCTGGGCCGGAGGCTGATGTGCAGTGTGCCTGTGGAAAAAGTGACAGCAGGAGAGCTAATGAGAAGCAGACACTGAGCACTGGAAGCTGCTCAGCCAAGAAATTCTGCGCAGTCCAGAGTTTCCTCTGATATCCAAGAAAAATGTGTTATACCTTGGCTACCCTCTTTGTTACCCCAGGAAGGTGGTGCAGGATGGACAGTCTGGGTACGTGGCTTGGGCAGATGCCATGTTGCTCTGGCCGTGTGTGTGCATCTCGAGAGCCAAAAGCCCTGAGTTTCTTGTCCAGATTCCTACTGGGAACCCAGGGGCTGCTTCTGGCCACATGCAGAGGTGGTCTGTAAATGCGGATGCTCCTGTGTCTCTCATGCCTGGTGGGCTGCTTTCCCTGAGGGGCTGAGTGCCCACCACATCCACTGGTGTCCACAGCACTGAGGTGTGTGAGCTGCGTGTTCCTGGGTTGTTGTCACCCAAACTGTGTTTGACCTGGGGCTGGGGCTGGGGCTCGGGGCTGAAGGCAGAGAGGGCTTCAGGTTTGTTTCCCTGGTACAGTGAGTAAATTAAAGGTGTACAGTAAAGGAACCACAGTAAAGGAACCATTGCATGCAGTGTGGTGCTCTGCAGTCCTGCTCCTCTAGAGATGGTGGTCTTGCTTTTGGCAGAATGGAGGCGTCCTGCCTGGAGCTGGCCCTGGAAGGAGAGCGCTTGTGCAAGGCTGGGGACTTCAAGGCTGGGGCAGCCTTCTTCGAAGCAGCGGTGCAGGTGGGGACAGAGGACCTGAAGACTCTCAGTGCCATCTACAGCCAGCTGGGCAATGCCTATTTCTACCTAAAGGAGTACTCCAAAGCCCTGGAATACCATAAACATGACCTTACCCTGGCCAGGTAAGCATGTCAGCAACGCTTCGTCCTAATTGGATGGGCACAGGCTCATCAGTGGGGTCTGAACCCAGCAGCCTGAGGGAATCTGCCCCAGAAATAAGCATCCAAAACTGGCTCTGAAGCATGGGGTGTCTGTCCTGTGGAGAACATGGGAGGCAACAGGAATGGGCCAGCCACCTTCAGAGCAGGGAGGTGGGGATAGGGATATGGATGTCAGGATGTGGAACAAGAGCAGGGCAGTGTCCAGTTCTCCTATCCCCAGGTACTCATTGTAAGTACACCTGAAGTCAGTAGAGCAGTTCACCTGATACAGCACAAGAGGGAACAAGGATCTGTCCTCAAAATAGAGAGAGCCCGTATGAAGCACTCCAGCCAGGGGGTGTGCTGGGAGCTGCTGGAGGTTGTGTACACACCGTGCAGTGCTTGCTGCGGCTTGAATCCTGCTCCAGTAGCTGGTGAGTAAAGGTTTTGAGCTCTTTAACACCTCTTCCTTCCTCCCATCATCTTGTAGAACCATTGGGGACCGCATTGGAGAAGCCAAAGCAAGTGGAAACCTTGGGAACACATTGAAAATACTCGGGCAGTTTGATGAAGCTGTTGTTTGTTGCCAGAGACACTTGGACATTTCTCAGGAGCAGGGAGATAAGGTAATCAGTTCATGGTATCCAACAGGAAATATTTCCTAGCTTTAAAAATAACCTGCCTGCAAGTCAGTAAATACGATAAGGTGAAGGTGGGCTTTGGGAGGAGGTGGAGTGTAAAGCTCTTCCTTCTGGCTGCCATCACAGGTCTCATGCTGCTCACAGCAACAGCTGCCATGACAGTGAAGATGGGAAAGGAAAATGTGGCTTTGACCTCCTCTGCCCAGCAATGGAAAGGTCCATATTGGGATGTGAAGTGTAATACCTTGCTGCTCCCTGTTCTTCCTCCCTTTAGGTAGGTGAAGCCAGAGCACTCTATAATATAGGAAATGTTTACCATGCAAAGGGAAAGCACTTATCTTGGAACATGGCCCAAGACCCAGGCTACCTGCCTCAAGAAGTCAAGGAGACTCTACAGAAAGCTTCGGAATATTATGAGTAAGTATTTAAGCTTGGCCAACCCTTTCTCCTGCAGAGAACAGGGCTGGTCAAGCATCAGTGGCTGCTAACATACACACAGGTATTCCTTGGTTCAGCTTCTCCTGCTAAGTTCATAATCTGCAGCTGTGGTGCCTCTGTTCTGGTGGCAGCTTTCAGGTTACCTGAGCTCTGATAACCATTGGGCTGCTGAGAGCTGCAGGGGTGCAAGATGACAACTTTTGCTGAGTCCTGTAGAAGCATTTCTCACAGGGGGATTTGGTTCCTGGGCCACTGAGGATGTGGAGCTCTGGAAGATGTTTGCTGCAAAGAATGAGTCTGTGGGCTCAGTGCTGTGAAAAACCAGGCAGCTGAATGAGATTCTGCATGTTATAATGAGTGAGGAAGATTCCCCTGAGATGCCAAGTTAAAATGGCAAATTCATCTCAAGAAAGGTGAGAGAGGGGCTACAGGCTTTTATAGAATCAGAGCTAAAACTCTTCGTGGCATTGCCTTGCTAAGGACTCACTGTCGTTTGGAGTATGATTATGCAATTAAGTACAACAGTCTGCTCCCTCTCGGAGCTGTATTTGGAAGCTGCGTTGTCAGCTCCTGTAGCCCCTGCTGCTCCCTGCTGGCCTTGATGAGAATGGATCCCTGTGTGTCTCCATCACTGGGACCGCGAAGAGCCAGGGGAAGAGGCTTTTGCTTGGAGTCCTGGTTGGACTTCTTGTGGCTCTGTAGTTTATCTTGCTTGTATCATCCTTCACGTTCCTCAGTAGTTTCTCAGATCAGCCTGTCCCACGCAGGAAAGTTGTCACCAGACTTCTGGGCAAATGTTTTTCTCCTCCTACTTCAGAGTTTTGCTTCAATAATGCTGGGGGTTTAAGAGCCTTTTTAGATGAAGGGAGTGACAAGATCTCATATCCATCCTCTCACATCTGAGGATGTGATAGCGCCTATATATAACTTGCCATCCTTTTTCCTGAGAATGGTGCACGTAGCACAGCCGGTGGGTAGATTTGTGCTGGCTGAGAGCTCTGTGTGTGCTGTATGTGTAAAGGGTGGAAAAAACAAGGTAAGGAAATGCTGGGAAGCTCCATAAGCAGAGCCCTGGCAGGGGACTGGATCTTGTCTCTCTCCACAGGTTTTTCCCAGTCCTGCTGTAGGTAATCTCCTTTCTCCTGTGCTCCTGCTTCCCCCCTGCACAGTGAGGTGATTGTTTCTTATTTAACGTGGGATCCTGTCAGCCCATGTGTGTGCGAGCACTTGTGAGTACCTGGACACAGCCACAGATTGCTTGAGGTTGAGAGAGCAACAGGGACTCACACCACTGGATCTGCACAAGCTCTTAGAGCTGCAGCTACTGTGGATCTACCAGACCTTCTCCTGCCAAGGGGTGGCTGTGCACAGGGTGGTGACTGGGGAGGGGAAATGCCTTCTCCAGGGTTAGCTCTCCTTTATGGCGTGGGTTTCTTTGCTGTGTCTCCTGCCGTTGCCTGTTCTCACCAGATGTTACTGCTCTGGTTTCTTTCAGGAGGAACCTGTCCCTGGTGAAGGAGCTGGGGGACAGAGCTGCCCAGGGCCGTGCTTATGGCAATCTTGGCAACACCCAGTACTTACTTGGCAACTTCAGTGAAGCTATAGCCTTCCACAAGGAGGTAGGAGACTGCTGTGCCTTCTCCCTGGGTCCAGGGGCTGAGACTGGATGTTGGGGAGCAGCTTTGCTTCTCACCACAGCCCAGGAAGTCCTGTGTGTACCCCTGGGTCTGGCCCTGTTGTGGTAACTCATGTTAGCGCACACCTGATGAGCAGCTTGAGGGAAGGGTGCTGTTGGCTTGGAAACCAAAGGAGATACTCAAGGACAAGTTGCAGCTGGGCCTAGCAAAGCTTTTCTGCTCTTAATTTGTATCCTCCTAGATTTTAATAAATGCAAGCCATGGATTTAATTAAGCTGTTGGAAGAGCTGTTGATAAGGAATAAATGATGCTTGTAGAACATAACTCTCTATAAAGCTTTGCAGAGGGGTGAGGTGGCACAGTCCCTGCTCCATTCAAATGCAGTTCAGCTCCTGTTTCAGTTTCTTTGCAGTGGAGGGTGCTCAGCACCTTAGAATGTCAGCCCTGTCAAAGCTCTTGTGATTCTTGAATGCTGGGACAGCAGCCAAGCAGGGCTGTGGGAGAAGGGGCTTGGAGAGGGACAGGAGAACTCTACGTAGTATTTGGGACCTGCATGTTAGTCTGGTCAGCCACATCCATCCACAGCCTGACCTATAGCTCCCTGTTCTCCTGTTTAGTCACCTGCTGAAGCATATGCATAACACCTTTGCACTTTAGTTAGAGAGATGTGTGCTGACCAGGCTGAAGTAGGACTTCGAGGAGGATGTGATGTTACTCCCGCTTTTCCAAAGACCCTTTCTGATGCTGAATTGCGAAAGAGGGAGATTTCCTGCTGCATCCGGCCCCAGCAGCACATGCATCGTTACCTTGGTGGGTGGGAGCTCTGCAAACCAAGATTAACCCCCCAGAAATGGTGCTGTGTGACAGAAATCTGGTAGTGTCCAGCCTGTACTCACCAACCTGTGTCTGCTGCAGCGCCTCGCTATTGCCAAGGAGTTTGGGGACAAGGCAGCCGAGCGGAGAGCGTACAGCAACCTGGGCAATGCACACATCTTCCTTGGGAGGTTTGACATCTCTGCTGAGTACTACAAGTAAGTGCCAGGGGCTAAGGCAGACTCGGGGCACATGTCCCCTGGAGATCTTGACCTGTTGCAGTGAATTCACAGGCTCAGGGGGATGTGATGAGGGACCTGGAGGCCAATTGCATGTGTGGTGCTCAGCAGTGGCGAGTAATGCAGGCAGCTGATAGCCTGCAGTGTGTAACAGGCACCAGCCTCAGTGCAGCACATGCTGAAGTGGTGACTTCCCTGTCACCTTGTGGGAGTGCCTTGCAGTAACCGGCTCTCTTCATTCCTGATTTTTT